TTACTATCCAATCAGGGTTAAAAGAGCCCGGGCAAGTCTAGACAAGCCTATTGTTCCTATTGTAGTAGAGTGACGCTCATTAGTAAACCTAATCCAAATTAGTATGCAGGAAGACACTTGTACATATTAATAAAGGGAATCCACTTTTTCCCAGGTTATAACAATCGGTGACGTCATAGACTAGACCTAGCTAGACCGTGCTAGACACTAACGGGGCTTATCTTCATCCCTATATAACTACTAACACCCTCCTCCATCTCCATAATTCTTCGTATGAAACTCAGCCTCATTCATTAATTGTTACTTAAGGCATGACTACCTGATTAAATATGCATATTTTGTAAAATGCCATTTAAACCGGTTTGCTTTCATCAGTGATTCTGAAACGTGAACTACAAATGTGGTTCAATGAAAAAAAAAACACGTAAAACGCGATTTCAAATAACACGTGACATTGCTTGGTCAATGACGTCACAAAACACGTTTTTCTAAACTGGGAAAAGTTGCAAATCTTAATCTTAGGAATTTTCACCACCAAAATGTTACATAAACGGTGTAAATCGTAAATTCGCCTTGTATGATTGGAAATGTTATTTATCGTTTTAGCTGTTTAACTAATTAACAAGTCACGTGACCTTTTTCCCTTTATTTTAGAAAGGAAGTCAAAGACAGACCTGCTCGGACTCCCAATGTAGGTGAGCTTGCTCGCAGGCTATTTGAAATACCATTCCCGTAAGGTGGCGATCAGCACCATTTGCGGCAATTAATTTCCCTTTAAGCTTCCCGCGAGTGTCAGCTCAACTGTGGAGCCTCAACTAGACCACGAGCAGTCTCTCTTTTTTCTTAGTTCGTCGAGCGAAACGCGCAGACACGCTCGACGCTCGCTCGCGCGTGTACTCCCCTTACTAAATCTGAAGAAAAAGAAAGATTGCTTGCAGTCTAAGCTTCAGCTGTTATGAAATAGAACACAAACAGCGGTGATAAACATATCCAACTCACATTTATAAACTTGACGTTTCGACTGCTAATCAACATACGAAACGTCAAGTTTATAAAAATGAGTAGGCTGAATATGTTTTCTTACAATAACTTAGGGAATCCTCGCTCGCTGATTGGTTGAGAGCTATGGTCTATGAGAGTATAGACTATGGAAATGACGTAACATGTAACGAGTGATTTTCCGAGAAACTTTGCGGGAAGCTAAAAATAAATGTTATTGTTAAAAACAAATCGATCAAAATTTCCCACGGTCTACACTCTTATAGACCATAGAAATGACGCCATAAAATGTTCAAAACTTTGCAGTGAAACCATTTGCCTGCTGCTCGTGGTTCCACTTGAGTTTTAAACATTTTAAGACGTCATTTCTATGGTCTATAAGAGTGTAGACCATGGAAAATTCTGGTCGATTTGTTAAATCACCGCTGTTTGTGTTCTATTTCTTATCAAGCTACGATGGCCCAAGAACAAAAGTCTTGAGCTGTTATCTCTACATTGTAAGAACCTATTTTACGCCTTTTGCTTATCCTGATTGTTATCTTGTTAAACTCTGGGTTGGAACATTATTACTTGTTGTAGACTTTCTAACAGTCAGTTTTAACGCTCGTTCTCAAGACGTCGTCGCTCAAAAGCGACTTCTGACAGAGCAAGTCTAATATCGTTACCAATCATCAGCAAGAGAGCTCGGGAAGGCAACTCACTAACGTTACAAACGAGTAGGCTCCGCCCCCAGGTCCAACCCCTTACCCGTTAAGTATCTCATTTTTGACGGAAGAGGTTGTCGGGAAAGAAATAGGTGATGCTTAGCTTTATTATTTTGTGATTAAATATTAATTAGAAATTGACGTTTGTAGCGCAAAGAAGTTAGATTTTGTGACAATAGATTTCACAATAATGTATAGTAGACAAAGTCCGAGTATATTTACGATATAAAATAATGTAACTGCATGCATTTTCTTAGGCTAAATAAGGTGAAAGAACGTGCGATTTTGTAATAGTCACTTAATTTAGATACATTACAATGGGAACTTTTACTGTACATGTGAAAATACTGCCGTACGGAAGGATAGTAGAAAAACCACTGTATACTTAGAATGTTTTAGTTGATCGTTGATCGTTGATCGTTGAGTTGCGTTGATAGTTGATCGTTGGGTTGAGACCGTTGAATATGTGAGAATTGTACATCGCGGTATATTGTTGGTTTGGATTAAACCGTGCTGTTACATCGAAAGATACAGTCCTCTTGATTTGTTTGAACCAGCGGAGCGGGGTTAAAAGAATTCCGCAACAGAGGTAACCCTTTCGTTTACCTTCCAAAATGGTGCTCCTCTCACATACCTACAAGTCTTTTTGTCATTTTATGTAGCTTGACACAGCCATTAGGTGGGTTGGAACGGAAAAACTATCCGCAATATTTGCATCTTTAAAAGGGCAGTTAAAGGCATTGTATTTTGGATGTGTATAATAATTTTACTTTATGTAGCTTAAAAGCCAAGTCCTAGCTTATACAAGTTTTCTACTTTTGTTGTAACGTAGGGTGTCTAATTTTAGCGGAGCTTCCGCGCGCGTGAAGCGCGGGCGGCGGAGCCCCATTGCTAAGATAAATTGGAAACCTATGAAGGCAAGAAAATTTGGTTATGACGTAGCGTGCGCCTGCCCACCCGTCCGTACACACACTTCATGTAATTCGATGCCAAATGTCAGGTTATTTTGGCGGGAAAGCGTATGGCCACCCGCGTCTTGTGAAGCAGAGACAACTAAAGAGTCCGTGCCTTCCGAGATATTGTTGAAAAAAAAAAAATATATATATATATATATATATATATATATTCCCGACTGTAAAACCAGCCTTGCTTCTTTTGTTTTATAATAAAGAGGAAAACGGAAATTTTACAATAACTGAGCGAATCCTCGCGCGCTGATTGGTCGAGAGCTATATATGGCCTATGAGAGTAAAGACCATGGAAATGACGTAACATGTCACGCACTGCCGGTTGTTTTGTTTTTGGTTTTTCGTAAAAATAATTTTACTCCTGAACATGGATAAAGAAGAACCAAACTTAAACATATGGGGAGAAATTTCTGACAGTGAGTTGGTGATTGAAGCTGCAAAGGTAGAGCAAAAATACGAAAAAGAACAAGAAAAACGGCGCTTCGTGCAGTTATTTTTAGAGAAACTTCGCAGGAAACTAAAAATAAAAGTTATTGTAAAAAGTAAATCGACCACAATTTTCCATGGTCTACACTCATATAGACCATAGAAATGACGCCATAAAATGTTCAAAACTTTGCAGTGAAACCACTGGCCTGCGGCTCGTGGTTCCGCTTGAGCTTTGAACATTTTATGACGTCATTTCTATGGTCTATAAGTGTAGACCCTGTTAAGCGGAAAATGTTTCTGTATTCGTGTTGTCATAAGTATTAATTGTCATGTCCACAAATTTGGAATGTAGAGAAAGAAAAAGACAGCCGAAAAAGAGAACGTTGGGCTACAGGCCAGCGAAGCTCAACGAGAAAATAGCAAGAGCGAGAAAGAAAAAACAAACGAGACATTTTTTGATGGAGGAACAACATGAAATTCTGTAGCAGCGGTGAAAAAATGAGATCGTCTGGGATTTTCCCAACATATAAAAACCAGGCTTTTTTAGGTGATGTTGGCGAGACGATTCGCAACGACGATTTTTAGAACAACGCAGCGTTGCAACATTGTTGGGACATTGTTTTGAATAATACAAAACTGAATGCAGGGCTGGCACTACGGCAAAAGGCTGATTTATTATAGACCAATATTTTGGCTAACAAAATTAGCCTTCCTCAGGGCTAGAGCTTTACTGACACTGAAATATCTTTTAACGTCTTCTAAAATAGAAGGAGCCGATGATTTTCTTTCAGGTACTGATATCAATGCCCATGATGTAATTTGGAGCCAGCTGTCAGATTTAGCGGATCCAGATATCGGACCAGTGGACGTTTGTAAAAGAAAATAGGAAAAACTGTTTGAATGCAAAGGTCCACGCAACGTGTAAATATAACTGACTGGTTCCTCTTGCCGGATCTCTAATTAAAGAGATGCTGTAGCCAGACGTCAATTAAAGTGTAAAATAAAACAAAACTGAATGCTTGCGACATTGTCTCAACATACAACGCTGTGTAGCGCTAGATATCGTCTTTGCGAATCGTTCTGTGTAACATTACCTTTAAGGTGAACGATTCGCAACGACGAATTTCAGCGCAACACAGCGTTGCAATGTTGGAACAATTTTGTAAAGGTATTGTTACAAGAGGCGATTCGCAACGACGATTTTTAGCGCAACACAGCGTTGCAATATTGTTGCGACATTGTTTCGAATAGTTACAACATTGTTCCAACCTTGCAACACTGTGTTGCGCAAAAAATCGTCGTTGCAAATCGTTCCGTGTAAGATCACCTTTAAGGTGATGTTACACTAGACGATTGGCAACGACGATATTTGGTGCAACACAGCGTTGCAATGTTGGAACAATGTTGTAACTATTCGAAACAATGTCGCAACAATGCTGTGATGCTGTGTTGCGCTAAAAATCGTCGTTGCAAATCGTCCCGTGTAAGATCACCTTTAAGGTAATGTTACACTAGACGATTGGCAACGACGATATTTGGTGCAACACAGCGTTGCAATGTTGGAACAATATTGCAACCATTCGAAACAATGTCGCAACAATGCTGTGATGCTGTGTTGCGCTAAAAATCGTTGTTGCGAATCGTTCCATGAAACATCACCTTTAGCATTACACGATTTCATATTTTGTTTGAGCAAACTATAAATATTATCGAGAGCTTCGCTTTTATCCCTTGCTAAATCTATATATTATTCTATTAAATAAAGAGCTTTGAAGGTCGCGATTCGGGATTTTAAGGCAAAATGGGGGCGATATGATTGAGTGAAAAACAACCCCGCCCCTTCCGGGAGCGGCGTTCAATCGTTCGTAACCAGTCTCCCTAGAATCGAGAGGTTGCTGAGGGTTGCTGAAAACTTTCAAATCTTCTCCCGTTGTCGCGCAGAAAGTTACGTCGATTTTCTCCTTGCTTTTGGCTGGGAAATCAGCCATGGCGGGAGCCTATCAACCAACAACAGTTCAGAATGAAGAAATAGACGATGATGAAAGGACATTATTTTGTAATCCATTCCATGGTCGAAGAGAAGGAGATCTAGAAAAGGCTCGCGGACATCGAAGGCGCCAAAGCAAAAAGGACTTCGAGGCTGAAGGGCAAGAACGTGTGAATCAGTGGTAATTACTTCGATCGGATGTTTATTCGTTGCTTTGGTATTCTGCAGTTAGTTTATTTTGGTCTTAAAGATAATAAATGTTCGACAAATCCAATATCTGGCGCGATTGTACAGCCAACATGATCTCGATCGTGTGAATTCATCCTTAATGATCATGCACGAAGCATTTTTGCCAATCGATCGAGTTGTTGCAGTTTTAAGCTAACGAGTGCTTAACAGCAGTCTTTTCGCGCTTATTTAGAATTTAAGCAGAATTTCTCAGGTTTGTTCCTTCGATTGAAGGTTGTTTACGCGCTGTGTTTCACGTCAAGATGGCCAAGTTGACGACGGAGCGAGCAGTGCTGTCCCAACTCCTGCGGGTTCTGAGTATCATCTACCTGGTCGAGGAACAGCCGCAACAGATACTGTACATCCGAGCCAACTGAACCGTGCCCAGACGATTAAAAAGTACGTACCGATTGTTGCTGATATTTCTTTTTATGTTAGGTTTTCTGTGGTCTCAGTATTGTCCCTGGAATTGCAATGAAAGTATGACGAACAACGTACCCACTTCAATATGTACAGCTATTTTGATGTTGTTGACTTCCGGTACATAAAATTTTTTACAGAAATCGATTGCTCTTCGCTTAAAACAAAGATTTGTTTGTTTTGATGAAGTTTATATGTGACTTTAATTCTGTTTCATTCTTAAATTAGTTCTGATTATCATTTGGTAACCTGCTTGTGAAAATCGCGTGATGAAATTTACACTTCAATTCGAGTTGACCTTGTAAATTTGCATAAAATATCTTGAAACATTTTCTTTCACTGTAACCGCGGAAACAATATTTGATGGAATGTGAAATGACCGAACATAACAATATTTAGAATCCACTCGTTGTGTTAACGTGCCAAAATGGCTTATGCGAATGAAGGCCGTGGTTCATTTGACGCTAGGGCTACAGGCGTTTTTTACACCCAGCAACATTACAACTTCGACGACTTGGATGAGGGCACAGACTTCAACGATGACGGAATTTATCCTCAGTTTATACAGTACTATCAAGAAAGAGAGCGTCCTAGACCCAGTTTTGATTTCACGACTCTGGGACGAATGGGTCCGAGGGCAAGTTTAGCAAGCCTTTCACATACTCTAAAACGTGGAAAAGGGTAAATGTCGACAGGTATTTTATACCCGGTAAATCGAATAATCTTTGCCCCTAGGGGGAGACACTAAATTGTTTTGGGGATATGTAAGTAATGACTCCATTAGAAACGCTTTTGTGTTTGCAAAAGGTGTTGACCTTGAATTATACAGCAATTAGTTCATGATCAAGTCACAGTGTCTGGTTAAACAATGGAATTGTTAGTGTTTTATTGTTTGAAAGGAGAACGATCCATGACAAAGTACATATGAGACTAGAAAATCTGATAAGCGATTGATTTTAAGACTAACACACTCATTTGCATAAACCAGTTGTTTTTATCAACACACTCAATGGCATAAGCCAGATCTTTACAGAAAAGAGAACTGTTTTAAATGCCACTTTGTCTCTGATGTGACTTTTTTGTTATTTGAATAACCCGAGACAAAATCAAATCACCATAGCAATTATCACCATGTTATGGTAACCCTTGAAATAACAGAAACTTACGACCTAGACAATAATGGAACATTTGTTGTTACAATTGAAGTGGGCATGGTTTACAAAGAAAGTTACTGGAACAGTCATATTATTTTAATTTCTTGCAACAATGACTGATTTTGAAACTTGAGTTTCAAATTCTGAGTAAATTTGTACCTTTCCATCCAATATTTCAATATTGTTTGGTCAATAATGAGCTCTGTACACACAGCTAACAGTGTTGGTAGAATATTGCATGAAACGGATCTGATTCGACATGGAAATTTATTAAGGTCATTATCTACCTAAATATTATATATTTTTAAGTCAAAGATTGGTGTTTTAAAAATTTTATCATGGCTTGATTGGCAAATCGACTCATAACATTTTATCCCACTGGTTACACAAGGTCATTGCTCTCAACCTGTGAAATCCATGGTGCCCAGCAAATGATTTTTCTGAAAAAACCTAAGATTCCTTTGTTGATTAAGAGTAAAACTAAGTCACCATTGCTGTTGGGCACCATTAAAGCACAGCTCTGTTACAATTGCTAAATATTTACTCATAGCCGAGTGCCATGGAAGAGATCCCCCCAGAAAATGTGGTTGAGGAAAAGCGACTAGTGCCTTTCAATTCTTACCCATTTCAGACCAAAGTATGAGATTCTGCTGATCCTACTGCAGGCGTAACTCAAAATTCAATGCCATAATTCATACAAACTGTTGCAGAATGTACTCCATGATGAAATGTTCTTAGTTAGTAGCTGTTTGGGTTTGCATCAACGTCGTATAAGGTCTTTGAATAAAACTACAGCAGACTTCTCAAGACCCTTTTTCAGAGCACAATCTTAAAAACCCTATAGCAAATTTCAGACGAGGTGCTCAAAACCATACTCTGTGCCACAAAGAGAGTGAAGTAAATACATCAGTTTAAGGATAGTGATCATTTCATGTTTCCTTTCCACAAGGGATGAAAAAACTCAATAACAGTTAGTCATCTACTAAAGTTGTCATGTTTTGATTGAATAGGAAAATCATTAAAAGCACAGAGAATTTTTTTGGTCTCGGAGACTGTGAAGAACAGCATGCTAACCTACAGAGGAAATGGACTCAAAGAAGGAAACGGCATTACCATAAGCGCTATGGGGCTTTGGTGGAAGAAGATGCAATGGATGGTGCCATGCAACGCGGCAAATCAAGTGGTGCAGGTAGCATCAGTAGCTATCAGAGCTCTCGTCACATGCAAGCTGACCCTAACCTAGTGCGCACATTAAGCAGAAGAGAGTCAGTAGCAAGCCTGGCTTGGAAAAAAGTTAGGAAAATGAGAGAGGAGCCTGGGGTAATTTTTTGTTAATTCATTAAATTTATTTCTGTGTTTTTGTTTTTCACAGGACTAAGTTTTTTGTCTTTTTTCCATCTTTTATTACAACAGGGCCAATTCACTAATGTTTATATTCTTCCTAGTGGTTTTCTTACATTTCCTAGAGATGGTTCTTTATCTAGTCTGGAGAATTGGTTTGACCTTATGTATTTTGCTTAAAGTCAGTTTTAGTATCCAGTAATGCTCTTATCGGCTGAGATAAAAGTAGCCTATCAATATTAAATAGTTAAATGGCAACAAGCCATAACTAAATGATGTAGAAATAGGCATAATTGCTTGATAATAGGCATGGCCTTGATGATTGTTTAAATTAAAGTTGTATTTATGTAAAGTATGTGTACAAACCATAATAATTTGATGGCCAAAATTAATATTTTTATGAATAAAGGTTTAATTGAAAGACAAACTGACGTAATTGGAATAGAAACAGACATAATTGAATGTACAATTAATAATTAATCAATTACTGCATGTGGACAGTAAATAGTAATTTTGATTTAAAAACTGCTTTATAATTCTGCCTCTATCCCATATGAAGACTGCTTTTTTGTCAACAGGGTTTTAAATCACCAGGCAAGGCTCAGCCAGCGTGTTTGTTGCTGGAAGCTGGACGTAGCTTCTCTCCAGCTGTTATGTCCCAGACTGATGAGGATGAAGTGGACAGTGCATTTCATGCTGAAGGTGTTCGTGTAAGTTTTTTACTGTACATATGTATTCAGCGTGCAAAGAAAGTAGTGTCCGATAGCCTGGGGCTAGTGGATTTTGCTATCGGGCTAGTGAATTCTGTTTTTAACTTGCCTGACGGGCAAGTGATATTTTTTTAGGAATTCGAATAACAGAAGAACTGTAATCAATCCCACTTATCAAATTTTTTCGGGCTAGTTGAAATGACTTTCGGACTAGTACATGCTAGCTACAGCTTGCCCAAATGGCAAGCTGTAAAACTGACTTTTTTTGCACCTTGGTATTTAATCCAATTTTGGTCTGATCAGGTTTTGTTGATGCCTCCTTAAAACGGCGGAGCTCGTAGTATAGGTGCTTCATTGAATTAGCTGTAAAGTTTTGGATCTAAGGTGTTTTGTTTTTCTTTACAAAACATTCCTAGTGATGTTTTTTTATGTGACTAAGTCACTGTGTATCCTGACCCTCTCTTTTTCATTGTAGGGGATTGATGAAGGTTCTGTTGATGATGAAGTGTTCTTCAGTTTTGCACCCGAAAAACAAAGAAGAAGAAAGGACAAGCCAGGATTTTTACCAGGAATCAAAGAAGAAGAAAAACCTGTGCCTGCTGTACCACCAGTGGCCAAAGAAAAAGTTGACGGACCCCCTGCTCCGTGAGTATCAGTCAAATACTGCATTACAAAAACTGCTTTTCATGTTCTTAAAAAAAATTGCATTTTACTGATCACAATATATTTTGCCCATTCATTTTTTTTATCATAACTTATGAGTATAAATTAATGTAATCTATAATGATATATTTTTTCAGTCGACCACCCACCCGCAGTAGGAGAGGACAAAGAATTGCTGACAGACCTCGTGTTACCAACGCAAATCGTCGAGAGTACGGCAAGGGTATGGTAGGCAGATGGTTGAATAGAACCATCAAGCGCAAGCGTTTGACAAGCACTGTCAAAAAACAGATGGAATCTCTTAGTGATCACAGGTTGGTTTGACTGGCTTTTTATGTGCAGTATCAGAGATTGTGAATATGAAAATGATATAATTCTCTTTTAAAACAGCCCCTGA